TATTAGTGGAGGAGATTGAAAAAGATATAGTTGCACATGTAGCTCGGTGTCTGAATTGTCAGCAAGTCAAGTACGAGCATCAGAGACCTGGTGGTTTGCTTCAGAAGTTAGAAATTCTTGAGTGGAAGTGGGAGCGTATCACTATGGATTTTGTTGTTGGGCTCCCANAACTCCGTTCGAGGACGAACGTTTGTTTTAGAGGTGGAGAATGTGATGACCCAAAATGTCATCTTTAAATTAAATAAGTAATTCTGTATTCGAAGACCTCGAAAAGTACCATTTATCATTCCTCGACTTGCGTGAGCAGTCCGTAAAATTGTCCGAAAAGTTTTCATGTGAAAAATGGATTAAAATGGGAAATAGAGCTTTAAAACTCAACTAAGTTGACTTTGGTCAACATTTTGAGCAAACGGATCCAGATCAGTATTTTGAAAATTCGGGTAGCTCCGTATCGTGATTTGGGGCTTGGGCGTATGTCCGGAATTTAATTTGGAGGTCCCTAACTCAAGTTATGACCATTTAACGGAATTAGCAATTTAAAGTTTAAATATTTTAAGTTTGACCACGGGGTTGACTTTTTGATATCAGAGCCGGAATCCAATTCTAAAAATTTGAACAGCTCTGTTATGTCATTTATGACTTGTGTGCGAAATTTGAAGTCATTCCGGATTCATTTAATATGTTTTGGCACGAGATTTGCAAATTAAAAGTTTAAAACTCAAAGTTCGAATCGGGGTGTGAATTGTAATTTCAGTGTTGTTTGATGTGATTTTAGACCCCGAGTCAGTCCGTATTATGTTACGGGACTTGTTGGTATATTCGAGCGGGGTCCCGAGTACCCCGAGAGTGAAACAGATTGAAATCGGAACAAGAATTGGACTTAAGTAAAAATCTGAAATTTGGGTTCTGGTATAATCGCACCTGCAGAAATTTGACCGCAGGTGCGAGCTCGCAGAAGCGAGACTTCATTCGCAAATGCGGCCATCGCAGGTGCGGCCATTTTGCGCAGAAGCGGACGTCACAGGTGCGACATTTTGTCCGCAGATGCGGAACCTCGCCTGGCAGCCCCTTTTCGCAGATGCAATATATTTCTCGCAGATGCGAGCTCGCATGTGCGAGCCCAGGCACCGCAGATGCGAAAATGCTAGGCAGAATACATAAAATCGGGTCTTAGCCATTTTTACTCATTTTTTAGTTTGAGTCTCGGATTTGGGCGATTTCAAGGGGGATTTTCACGACTTTGAACTGGGTAAGTGTTCTTTATCATAAAGTGATTATATTTCACAAATCTATGTCTAAATTCATCATTTATTTCGGATTTAGTTGGAAGAAATTGGAATTTTTGTAAAACTTTCCAAAAATGAAAAATTTAAATTTGAAGGTCTATTTGATATCGGAATTGGACAAATTTGGTATGGTTGAACTCGTATCGGAACGATTGTTCGGATTTCATGAGTTTTTCCGGGATTTGAGAGGTGGGTCCCACTGCCGAATATTTTAATAAATTTTGGATTTTTATCCGAAAAATTTATAAATTCATATGGAATTAATTCCTATGATTAGTATTGAATATATTGAATTGTTTGTGAATAGATTTGAAACTTTCGGAGGCAAATTTAAAAGGAAAAGCTATGGTTGAATAATTGATTGGAATTTGCAAAGCGAGGTAAGTGTCGGGGTTAACCTTGACTTGAGGAAATAGAACCCTTAAATTATTTGTTATGTGAATTGCATGTAAACGACGTATAGGTGAGGTGACGAGTGTCTATACGTCGTCAAATTAATTGTTTGCCTACTTACTTAAAAAAATCATAAATTATTTTAAATCATGAATTAATTGTTATAATAATTGTTTCTCTCCTATTCTTTGTCAAATATTAATTCTTGAATTCTTGCATTAATTGTTACATGCTATGTGAATTATATGTCTTAATTGTTATTTGACATTTAGTATATTATACATTAAACTGTCTATTTTCTCTCTGATTGCCATAATAACTTGCTATTTGTCATTGTTTGTTTCATAATTATTGTATGCTTGTTGTCTTATAATTTTATATTAATTGTTGCATTTATTGGGGAAATTTCTTCTAGAAGAATTAGTAAATGAATAAATTGGAGGATCGGGTTGCACGCCGCAACAGACTTATTAAAAAATTCATATTGGAGGATCGGGTTGCACGTCGCAACAGATTTATTAAAAATCGGGTTGTACGCCGCAACAGACTTACTAAAAGTCAATATTTGGGGGATCGGATTGCACGCCGCAATAGACTTATTGAAAAGTCAATATTGGGGGATCGGATTGCATGCCGCAATAGACTTATTGAAAAGTCAATCTTGGGGGATCGGATTGCACGCCGCAATAGACTTATTGAAAAGTCAATATTGGGGGATCGGATTGCATGCCGCAATAGACTTATTGAAAAGTCAATCTTGGGGGATCGGATTGCACGCCGCAATAGACTTATTGAAAAGTCAATATTGGGGGATCGGATTGCATGCCGCAATAGACTTATTGAAAAGTCAATCTTGGGGGATCGGATTGCACGCCGCAATAGACTTATTGAAAAGTCAATATTGGGGATCGGATTGCACGCCGCAACAGACTTATTTAAAAGTCTAAATATATACTTGATTGAAATAAATATATGACAGACTTGATTAAAAGGAAAATATTGGGAGAGCGGGTTGCACGCTGCAACAGAATTGAATGTGAATATATTGTGAGAGCGGGTTGNAATTGGTTGAAATAATAATAGATTATGACTGCTAGGTTGGCTTCAATTCTTATAAATGAGTTACCTGATTTATTTCTATTATTTGTTGTTGTTATTAATATTGCGTACAGGTTAATGTAAGTGAACCGCCTTAGCCTCGTCACTACTTCGTCGAGGTTAGGCTCAGCACTTACCAGTACATGGGGTCGGTTGTACTGATACTACACTCTGCACTTCTTGTGCAGATTTTGGAGTTGGTCCTAGCGGCGTACCATAGTTTTGCTCGGATTTCAGCTACTCGGAGGAGACTTGAGGTATAACTACATGGCGTCCGCAGTTCTGAAGTCCCCGTCTATTATACTTTAGCTGTGTGTTTATTTCCAGACAGCTTTATATTATTCAGACCTTTATTTGTATTTATTCTAGAAGCTCGTGCACTTGTAATACTAATTCTGGGATGGTATTTAGACACCGTTATTTTTATGAATTATTCACTATAATTCAAACTTTGCTTCCGTATTTGCTTCCTTGTTATTAATAAACTTAAAATTATTTTTAAAATGGATAATGTTATTCTAACGTTGGCTTGCCTAGCAAGTGAAATGTTAGGCTCCATCACGGTCCGAATGTGGGAATTTCGGGTCGTGACAGAGCCCCGGTGCGAGGCGTACCAAAAATGCCTCGGGGCGGTGGTGTGGGGCGAAAGTCTCAAGAGATGTACGCCCCGCAATTTGGGGCGTATGCCCGGGCGTTCGGGGCGCGTTTGTTTTAGTAAGGATTAAGCCCTAGAGACTTTTTCAAATTAAAATAAAATTTGTTGAATTAGTCCTTCATATAATACCCAAATTCTCAAAAGTCGGTTTGGTAATTACTCAAAAGGTTTAAAAAGGAACTCAAAAGTATTAAATTTAAAAGTAAAGAGCTTTTTTATTGATTTAAGCCATAATTCATGATTTTCTCAATTTTTTATCTTGTCCGCTAGTGTGCTAATATCTCCCAAAAGCAACGAATATTTAATTTTTATTACAAATACAAAGAGAACTACATTTTTCTTCATAGCAGCAAATTCAAAGTTCAAATTGCAGGTTAACCATCCTTTTTGTTCCTCCATGTAGAAAACTTTATTCTTTTAGACTCAAATTAATTGTGCTTGTAAGTAACGTATGATAGATTATTTTGATTAGTTTTTTGTGGGGATGGAGCACACATATATATAGTTTTCTTCAATTTGTATGCAATTTTACCTGTTTATAAATATTAACTGTCATTATATTATTTTATAAAATATTAAAAATTAAATACCTATGGGGCTTACGCCCCGCTGAGGCATATGTAAAATGCCCCACCTTACGCCCACGCCTTTTAAAATACTGTTTTAAACTAATGTGGAATTAATATTTTTTTTTATCGAAACTCATTTGGATTATGGATCAAATCACATTAAAGAATAAATGGATCTAAAATGGGTATGACCCATATTAGCTTGTGTGGTATTTATTTTTGGATTTTTATCATAAAATTTAATTCCATGTCATATTTATGGTAGGGGTTTGAGGCAAAATGACTTTTAAGTGACCATGATAAAGTTTAGTTACTTTTAAGTGACAAAAAGTAGTTATATGACTTTAGTGAAATTGAAAGATAGTTCAATGACCATCAGTGAAATTAACCCTGAATTTGAGTCATATAAATTAGAAATTTAATATCTTTTACACGGTAAATGCAATTATAATCGTGATGAAAGATAACAATTATTTATTATTATCAATTACAAGTAACCTGATTCGGTAAATAGTATAACTTCGAGCTGTCAGTATTGCTTAGAACTTATTAAACTCTTTATTTAAAGATTGCATTCGAAAACATTATAAAAATATTGGAAAAGGATTATTTTTATTTTTATTTTTAAAAAAAGAAAGAGAAAAGAGCTCTCTCAATTGATCACTCATACCAACCGATATGCCTTTATCATAAAAATACTCCTAGGTGCTTAGAACATAGAAAGTTTTTCTCCCTTTTTTTTTTTTGTTTTCTATGTTTTCTTTTTCGACTTCTCTTTTACTATATTAAGTTATTATATACACGTGCAACCAATGCCCAAATGACTAGATTTTATTTGTGAAAATTTCACATGTGAAAAGATTTTCGTCTATAACTAAAGGTCCACGATTATTGACTAGAAGAAAACATTTAGAGAATTACAAATCATCCAAATGTGTTGATAGCCTTACGGTCAAAAAAAGACTTTGAATTTCAATTACTTCTTTTGTATTAGTTTTTTTCTTTAATGTTCTCTCGAGAGATCACCTTCCTCTCCTTCTCCAATTTCCCTACTCGGGGTCTCCTTCCACGTTAATGCAAAACTTTTCCCTCGTCGTCCCATCAACGACGGGCGACGAGCGGAAATTCTTTATTTCATTATTAACCACCACTACCACCATCAGTATTCAAAATGCCTCCCAAAATGGGAGTTTTGAAACCATTTCAATTATTGGAAGTAAACATTATTTCTGCCCAAGATTTGGAACCTGTGTCCAAAAAAATGAAAACCTACGCTACCGCGTGGGTCCACCCTACCCGAAAACTTACCACCGGGGTTGATACCGAAGGAAGTAACAACCCCACGTGGAACGACAAGTTTGTTTTTCGGGTAGATGAGGAATTTCTTCGGCAGGACACATCTGCCGTTCAGATTGACATTTATTCCGTCCATTGGTTTCGGGATTCGCTCGTCGGCTCCGTTCGTGTCCTCGTCGGAAATCTCATCCCTCCTCCTACTAGGCTTCAACACCAACACCATATTGGTATGCGTTTTGTTGCACTTCAGGTTTGTTTCTTTCTATTTAATCTCTTTTGATTTAGTCTTTTTTTGTTTACGTCCACGTAGAAAGTTGCATGCATGTATATATTTGATTTTCCTCTTTTTAATCTCCTTTCTCAGTTTCTAAATATAATTTTATAGAGAGGAAATTATGAAATGTAAATTGTCCTCTATTTTTCCTTTTCTGCTATTTGATGTTGCTTATTTCATAGACGAATTCAGAATTTAAAGCTTATGGGTTATGACGACCATTATTTGTCACCGAATTCATAACCCATTTATACTGGGTTCGTAGTTTATTATATGTACATATTTAGTATATTTCTCAACGCATTTCTGCAAACCCGATTTAATAAGTGTGCAATTAGATCTAAAGGTGGATTTTTTTTGGTATAGATACGTCGTCCATCAGGTCGTCCTCAAGGAATATTAAACATTGGTGTGACATTATTGGGTGGCACTATGAGAAGCATGCCATTGTATAGACAATTGAGTATGTCAGCAGTTGGATATCGCGATTTGATGGAAGAAGATGCACATCTTCCCAACTATAACGAAAAAATAGAAACTCAAAATAACAAGGTCGATAACAACAACAACAACAACAATGCCACCACGATAAAACCTATACTACGTCGTACAAAGAGTGAACGTAGCGAACGTGTCACGTTCGATAGTGCCTCAATGGCTAACAGTTCATTAGTTGCAGTTCCTCCAAAAAAGAAGGCTGTGGCTGTAGAAAAAGAGAGTTCAATACTTAGCATTTCCTTTGAACCTCCAAAGCATATGATGAAGAAGAAAGGGAAAGCAAGTTCTGTAATAAGTGGTGCTGAGCTAAGGGAAAAACCAAAAACAAAAGATAAGAAAGGTAAGTCTGGCTCAGTCCTAAGTGATTCAATTGTGAGTAAAGAGTCATCTAGTCTTATAAACAGGCCCAAAGATGATAAGCCCAAGCCCAAAGATAACAATAGGCCCAAAGATGACAAGCCCAAACTCAAACTTATAGAGTTAGAACTTGGGGACAAAGACAAGCCCATAAATGAAAAGAAGACTGGAACTGACTCACCAACAACTAAAGCAGTTGATGAAAAATCTGTTACAAAGTCTAAAGGCTTAGGAGTTGGTGAAATGCCCAAAGAGAAACAAACCACAGTAATAGGAAAACTCATGCCAAGGAATGGTGGATATGATTATGGAGGCCCAAAAGGGTTAGGCCCAGGGAAAAATGGGAAGTTTGTATTTGGAGGCCCATATAAGGCCCATTCAATGTGGTCTGATTCAGAAGTTGGGCCTTCACCCTCTGAAGTGGCTGCAATTATGGCTGAAAAGAAATACCCATTGGAAGAGGAAAAGAGCTCAGTTTTGGATGGTTGGAGTTTGGATGAGAGTGTCGAAGGACTCAGGTCGAAGCTCGAGAGGTGGCGAACCGAGCTACCGCCACTCTACGACCGTGGGATGGCTTCGAGTAGCTACCATTCGACCGGTCGTCACACGAGAAGGCATACTGATGGTGGAAGTGGCTTGTTTTCTTGCTTTGGTAACTTTTATGGTTATGAATGTCAATGCATTTGTGGTAAGCCCAAAAGGAAAAGTTTGAACCCAAAGTTTCAAAGCCCATCAGTTGGAAGCCGGTCATGGGTGTGAAAAGCCCAAGCCCAAGTAAGCGTTCAAGGCCCAACTGCAATAAGGGAAAGGAAAATGAAGGAAAACACATTCAACTTTGCAATTGTATTTTGAAGGAGAACATCCATATACTACAAGATGCTATTAGGGGATTTATGTTGGTTAGGCCACTTTTCCAAAGAAAATATTAATTATTATTGTTTATAAGATGTTGTATTAATTTTTTTTAATTTTGGTTTCTGAAGATAAACTTATCCAGACTATAAATCATTTATTGTCTTATGCATGGTTGATTGCTAATCTTCTTTTCTTATTGTTTCGCAAAAAAGCACTTCGCTCAAACGCTTATAACTATATATATTGGGATCTTTAAGCAAATAATCGATTAATTTCACTGTTTATTTTTTTCAGTCAATATACATGATTATACAATAATTATACATGATTATATATATATATTATATTCGCCTGCTATTTTCTAAAGAATTGTTGTTTAGAAAATTCTAAAGAACACACAAGGAACGTACATTATATTTGGAGGATGTCAGATGCTAGAAAAAATAAGTCAAATAATTTAATCTTAGGGGTCGTTTGGTTCGCGGACAGAATTATCTTGGGATTAATAATCCCTTGGGTTACTTAGTGCTATTACTTTGTTTGGTTCATTGGATTAAAAATGGGATATACCATATATAATCCAAAACATGTATTTGATTTAAAGTTGGATAAACTTGGATAAAATTTTATTTCCTATTTTAACCTTAGATATTTCATGACTTATACAAACGATATTTTTCTTAATAGAAAACTCCACCCAACAATATTTTCTTATTATACTAAATTCAAATACTCAAAGACATTACTTCATTCATCCAAGATGCATGACAATTATATTGTTGCTGCACTGTTGCAAAAGAAGTACACAAACTGAAGCTAAAATAGTGTAGATTTAATGAAAAGAGTGCAGAATCAATGCAGAAAACTGCTGAAACTATGCAAAAAAGTGCAGAAATAATGTAAAAACATAGCAGAAAAACGCAGGAATCATGCAGAAACTGTGCACCAAGAATGCAGAAAGTGCAGGAACTATGCAAAAATTACTCAAATACAGTGCAAAAAATACAAGAATTGTGCAAAAACTCCAGCAAAAAGAGTACAGAAGCTTATGCAGAAACTGAAACTAAAATCTGCTAAACTGAAACTTAAAAACTACAAACTGAAATTAAAATATGCAGAAATCGAAACTAAAATAAGTGCAGATACCTACAATAAGAAAAAGTGTAGAAACTGCAGTCAAAATCTGCAGAAATTGAAACTAAAAAAGTGCAGCGGCAAACATACACATTGCTCTGGAATACCAATAGTGCCATAAAATCACCGCGAAATTGTTCAAGCATGTCGCAAATATTAAAACAATATCACACAATCATAAAAAGCTATAAATAGACAAAAGGTATGATCCCCATACCAATTAGCATTCATGCATTACATTTACATATGCATCCTCATGCTCATACTAGTCACATATCAAGTTTATGGAGCTAAGGCATCAAAAATATAATACATCTATTAAACATTTTGAAGGTCGTCAATTTAGCAAAAACCATCAAACTCATGCCCAACCTTTACAATTATATCTTATATACTTGGAAATGTATCATTGATAATCATCCAGACCATATTCTGACGTTCAAGTTCACCCATCCGTAAGAACATATCCATTCTTCTAACCTCAGAAGTAAGCCCCATTGCTGCCTTGATTTGTTGTTCTGAAGTGTACAACTAAAAAGCAGGGGACGAGAGGATATCTAGAACTTTTCCACGAATTTCAGACTCATCACGCCCCCCAAACCTTTCAACTAAAGCACCCATCCTTTTGTCATGGTTTTCCATAAATTGCTTCATAACATCGACTAAACTCTTTAAAATCGTCTCGTCATCATTTGTCTATAGATCTTTTTTCTTTTTCTGCTTTTCTCCTTATCATTGATATTAGAAGAGGAGCTTCTAGTATTTTTAGCTTGTTGTTGACTTTGACGGTGTCCATGATCTGCACTATAAGAAGCTCCACTATGTCCATGAGTATTTTATAAATTAGTTACAAAAGAACATAATTAATAAATTAAAAATAAATTCTAAGGAACTAACATATTCGATTACTTGAAAATAAAACTTTCATTACCTTAACAAACTCATCCCATTTTGTTAGATCATCAACTATAATTCTTCCTTCACCATATTGAAAGCCCAATCCACTTAGACTTTTTAATGAAACTATAGTACTATAGTCCCTCTTCCATGCTTTCAATTTAGAATTAATATGTGGTGCAGATTTTAATCCACAGTTAGGAAGAACTTTCTATAAATGATGCTATAATTCCATCAAGTATCCATTCTTAAATGGTTCCATTATCAGCTTTCCAACCTATAGTACTTAAATCTTTTAAACCAACAACAAGAGTGCGTTCTTCTTCTAGTGTCCATGTCCTTCGACACTGAGGTGTTGATCTCCTTGACCTTTTCGACGCTTGATTAGGAGGTGCTGCGTGATTACTCATTTATGATCTTGTGGGAAAGCTAATCAAGTAAAGAAATAGAAAGGGATGAACTTTATTTTTCACAATCCATTTAGGAAGCTAGCAAAACAGAGAAAATAAAATTTTATAATAATAAACTCCATCATATAAATCTCATAAAAGCACACAATGAAGATGCAATCAACTCCTTTTTGTACTGGTAACTACCACATTTCTTTTTGTATTCTTACATTCACAAATTCAATCCACTCCAACTTCAACTTTAATCTAGAAAGACTTGCGGGAGACAAAATATCTCAAAGTAGAGATGCTGAGCCTTGTTTTTACATATTGATTTGTTTTTAAATCTGGAAGGAATTAAAATGCTAATCTACTGCGATATTTTCACCTGACATCACTTGTTTTATTCACTTATATTAGTGCAGCATAGGGCGACTTGGGCGCAATGAGGTTGAGAATGGTAAAAATCATTAATATTTCACTAAAACTACATTTACTATGTAAAATAATGCTGAAAATTTCTGGGTTTCAGCAAACAAAACAAGTACAAACCAACATCAAAACCCCAACAGTTGTTACTCAACAAACAGAAAATAGATACCTTGGACAAAGAGAAGTAACAAAAAAGGGAAGGAAAAAAAGAAAAAAAAAAGTTTTTTAGAGAAAGACTTTCGTGTAATAATAGAGAATGAGGTTAATAAGGGGAAGTAACAAGATAAGGGAAGAAAAGAAATAAAAACTTACTGAGAAGGAGAAGTAGATTTTCCCTCGTGATATCAGGGAGCCATGGTTGAGATGTGAAGCTCGGTTTGTGGAGAACTGACAAAACAAACGTAGAGATGCAGTGAAAAGGACTTTTGGAGGGGTAATCCGGTTTTCACGAAATCTTTATCCAAGGGATTATAATATCGGTATTGTTATTTCACCTCTGTGGGTTAAGTTTATACCAATATTTGTTATAAAATTATACCAGTATTATTTAATATCACTAATCAAATATGGAATAAATGTAATCTCAATTTTTATACTGGGATATCCCACTTAATACCTGTAACCAAATGACTCCTTAACATATAAAAATTAAAGTGAAAAATTAGGTCACCTAACCAAAATTTAGTGATAAAGTTGTTATTAAATATATATATATATATATATATATATATATGTCTTACATCAATTAGATTTTAAAAAAAATGATAAATTTTTGTTAAAATTCTTTTTGGTTTCTTGAAGCAATTAGTCGTATTTTGGAAGAATTGGTTCTGAATTTAACTATATTAAATACAAAAAGAAAAAAGAATTAAAGTGAAAATATACTTCCCTGGTCAGCCGCTTGACCTGTCGGATTACCTGGCATTTGACATTCTACGAATTACGTGAATTGTGTCTGCTTGTTTCTTTGATGCGACATGCTTTTATCTTCTCGTCTCGAGCTTTTAGCGGTCGTTCGATAATATTTGAGTGGAATTTATTAAATAAAATACTTAAAATTGAAGTTTGGAAACACATCGTGAAAGTTGTTTTAACAATTAATTTTTATACAATTAATTGTTAATATATTTATTCTGCTAATTATACAAGTTAGTTTTTTGGTAAATTTTGTGTTTTTTTGAGTTATGCTTTTCGAGTGATTATAGTATTTCTTACCGTGTGGATGCACAGAGGTCTCGAATTCGGGAATAGAGAAATTCCTCATAGGAATAGCTTACCTTTTATGGGCCTAAGGTGACACAAATTTAGATTAATCGAACCAGTGAAAATACCAGTAATAAAGTGATTATTTTCTTACTCTAATGTTCTTTATCTTATTACTTATCTCTTTGTATAAATTTCGGCACATACAAAAAGTTGAGGATGTAACTTGTCAGCCTTAAACAGGTTACTTTTATTATAAAAGTATATCATTAAATGTTAGAGAAAAATTCAATCAAAATTAAGGAGTTTTCAAATACTCCTACAGAAAAGTATCAATTGCCTTTAGAACAGAATAAAATGAAACAGGATTTATGGCAAGAACAAGAAGATACTCGTAAAAGATAGTGTGTGTCTGTGCTTGCATTACTATGTGTATATCTCTTTCTTTAATCTTATACTATCTGCTAAAGAATCTCTTTTGTTAGTTATTCTAATATAAAGATAATCTACCGTTATATTTCCTCCATGCCATAATACTTGGGGGAATTTTACAAAAATAGGCCAAAAGTTTTGTACTTTATGCATAGTTTCATTTCTGTCACTTTGCAATTATTTTTATTGGTCCATTCTTCCTTTAAGGCTAGCTGCCTACTCTATATTCACCTTCTACTTTCATATTTTTATTTTTAATTATTTTTCTCCTTTTCTTGATTTGATGTGTGGGTGGTGGGGAATATTGTGGTTGCTAGGGACATTTTTAGGTTGTTTAAGTAGATTTAGACTAAGGTTTGTTGAGCTTCTGTCACCTCTTGACAAAGTAAGTTGATAGGCCAACTTGAAGTCCACACTTTGACACCTAGAATTCCCATATATAACGAGTAAATATACTTCCGTAACAATATATTTTATTTTTTGATTAAACACATTACGAGATATTTTTTATATATAAATTAATTTGGTAAATAAGTTGAATATCTTGTCTCTCTTTCCCCTTTTTTGACATGTTACGTTGCAATTAACACCCTCGTCAAAAAATTATACGGCATAGATAGATTAAATTATTATTTTTATGTATATATATTATATGTTGATTCCTCTTGATTTCTTTGCATGCTTATTTATTTATATTTTGATTCTCCTTACTAAAAATTTTGGGTCCGCCGCTATGGATTATAATTGACACATTTGCATTTCTAAAGCAGTCAGGTTGTGGGATGGCCACCAATAAGGACTTACAGGATGAACAGTTTGGTTAACCAATCAAAGGTTACAAAAGTTGAACTAGAAAAGTTAGTTGGGGGGAACGAAAAGGAGGAGAATTCCAAGAAGAAAATAAATCATGAAAATACCAAGAATGATGTTGCTACTATCAAAGAAAAAGGGCAACTAGGGTTTGTGAAGGTGAATATGAATGGATTGCCAATTACAAGAATGGTGGATTTGAATGCTCATTCTTGCTATGAAACCTTAACCAAAACCTTGGAGGAAATGTTCTTCAAATCAACGATGAGTATGAATTCTACTTAGTAAATTATGTTTCCACTAGTTAAAATACTATATTTAAATGGGAGACTTAGAACAATGGTAAAGTTGTCTACGTCACTACGTGTCCTATAGATTACGGCTTCGAGCCGCGGAAACAGCCACTATTGCTTGCATTAGGGTAGGCTATATATCTACATCGTACCCCTTGGGGTGCGGCCCTTCTCCAGATTTTGCCTGAACGAGGGATGCTTTGTGCACCGGACTGCCCTTTGTTAAATTAATATATTCGCTTTAAAATCATGTTGCATTAATTAGTTTGGGATTACGAGGGTTTGTATTACAAAATTATTATACACTATAAGCTCATCTAAAATATAATTAAAATATATTACTTGAAGGTGGATATAATTATTAGGTGCTCTTTAGTTGTATTTTTAAACTGTTAATATTAAGTTATTAACAAAAAAATCTATTACTTGATAGATAGTGCGAGTGCATGTATATAATTAATTAGTTAAATCCCTATCGACAAGTTGATTGTATGTTAGAGTGTGATTGTTCTTGTTAGTGATTGTATAATGCTCAATTGCATTGTGCTATTTGAAATAGGTCATGAAAAAAAGGAAGAATTGACAAAGTCCTATAAGCTCTTGATGGATCATCAGAGTTTGTTCTAACATACTAGGATAAAGATGGAGATTCGATGCTTGTGGGAGATGTTCCATGGGGGTAAGAAATTCTTTATAGTACTCTCGAGGGGAGTTTTGGAATAACGATAAAATTATTTTTGTGTAACCTAATCACTAATGTTTATATTAGTGTAGGCTGCCTATATTACAGTCTTAAGAGTTCGGTCTTTTTTTCTAGTCCCTGTGTAAACGTAGGATGGTTTGTGAGCATAGCTGTCCTTAGTGCTCTATAGTTAGCTAAAACCTTGGCATACAAAAGCATGGAAGTATTCATAATCAAAGTACTTACAAAATGGAGAAGAAATATATAGGAGTAATTGAAATTTCATTCTCCTCATTGGTTCTTACATATTTTTCTGCATTATCTTCTATAGGATGTTTCTCAGCACTGTGGAAAGGCTAAAAATCATGAGGACTTCTGAGGCCAGTGGAGTTGGTATGTAGAAGAAGAATCGCATAAAACAATGGAGAGACACAAAACAAAAGCAATCTATTCATTGTCTAGTCATTTTTTATACTTTTCTATGGTTGCAAATTTTGTTTTGTACCAATTCTTCTGTCTAAATTAGCTCTACTTCTTCTTTTTCTTCTTTTTTTCCAATGTAAGTCTCGTTTAGGGTAACGTCAGACCCCTATATAACAGCATAGTTATATAATAACCATTTAATGTCTGGTTTCTTTGGAATCAATTTTCATGCTACTAGTTTTAGTGCACATGGACATTGCGTCAATTAATAAAAAATAGAAAAATATATAAATAACGAACAAATGTTTGAAAAATAACAATTTTGGTTAAAATAAATACAAATAATTATTTAAATGATAAAAAAAAACTATTTTATTAACATATGTAGCAGGCTAGCAGCTAAACTCAATATATATCTTCTGAACATGATGATGAATTAAATTAAATTAGTTGTATTAGTAATATGACATATAAAATCTTTTGAAATTACCGTAAAAGAAATCAATAGATAACTTTCAACTTAATTCTAATTTATGAAGATAAGGTTTCCATTTTTTTAGAATAAAAATAGATAAGATATTAATATGTCATGATTCTGAACTATATGTTTTATTTTTAAAAAATGAAGTTAAGATATTTTTCACAAGTTATTTGATTTTTTCAAGTATTACAAAAGAGATTGATAAAAATTAGAAACATGCTCTACTTTTTTAATCCTTCTTTTTTCAATTGTGATTCTTAGTTTTTCTTTAATTTTTGGTATTTATAGATCTTTTTTCTATATGGTGATGCATATTTCTTTTTGGTAACTTAAGAACATAAAAATCTTATATGCCATCCCTAGTTTATCAAAATTATAGGTAAGCTAAATGAACCTATTCTTGTGTAAAACAATTAATAGATTTATTTTCGCGGAGTATATATTGTCTTATTATTACTTGCTATCGGTACCTCTTTCATAATTCTCTATTGCTATCTTCGATTTAGTTTTCGAATTATATTGTCTTGCTATTACTTGCTATCAGGGCTTCTTCCATCTTCTTTAGCCGAGAGTCTGTCGAAAACAGTCTTTCTGCCCTTCCAGGGTAGGGATAAGGCTGCGTACATCCTACCCTCCCTAGACCACCCTTGTAATATTACACTGGGTTGTTGTTGTTGTTGTTGTTGTTGTTGTTGTTGTTATAGTATTATCACGGAGTCTAAAACTTCTTCTTTACTATGTTTGTCCAAAGGTCAAATAAAATTAATGACTATTCTAAATTCATTTCAGTCCTTGATGGAACTACCAATTAGCTTTAAAATTTCAAGATTTTACAATGATGAGGATAACTTTCAAGATTTTGACAAGAGTGAGTTGCTCTAGTGGTGAGTACCCTCCACTTCCAACTAAGAGGTTGTGAGTTCGAGTCACCCCAAGAGCAAGGTGTGGAGTTCTTGGAATGAGGGAGCCGAGAGTCTATCGGAAACAACCTTTCTACCCCAAGGTAGGGGTAAGGTCTCCGTACACACTACCCTCCCCAGACTTCATTAATGGGATTATACTGGGTTATTGTTGTTGTTGAGGATAACGTTTCAAAATTATAGGGGAAAAAATTATAACTTATCATTATTTTAAAGATTCAACTATATTGATTTAGCAACAATTTAAAATATTATTGTAGTCACAAGTTTAAGATGCTTCTAGCTTATTTTATTTTTTAAAGTAATATAAATCAAATATAATATCAACAATCAAGCCTTGTATTATGTAAATTAAGGCCTTGTATTTATGTAAACTAAGTACCTTAAAATTGTTGACAAATGACATGGTTGAATAAAAAATGAGATGTTTATATGTCATCATTATTATCTTCATAGTTTCTAATAAACGTCAAATTTTTAATATTAGAGAGTTTAAAAAAAATTATTAAAAACAATTCAATCAACTAATGAAGTGTTAATTCTCAATTAGCAGATGTTGATTATATAAATCATGTGTATAGTCAAATGTTGACTATATAAATCATGTGTATAGTAATTTTTTAATTAGACTATTTTTCTAATTGACATAGTTTTCCACAAGATTTTTAATAAAATAAATAGTCGTGAAAATTTTGAAAACAAATGTTATATCAAATTAACTTTTGTATCTCTTATTGAACTTAGATGATGAAAACCGTCCATAAATCTAAACACAAGATTTGTTTATATGTAAGTAGAGGCGTTAATCTTGCTTAAATAGTTACTTGGCTTAAATTATTCGAAAAAAGATAAATAATAGATTCCTAAATATTTGAACTTCCTACCTAGTTCAATAAGGAAAGATTTAACGGCAAAGAGCCAAATATACCCCTCTACTTTCGAAAATGGTCTAAAAATACCCCCTCGTTATACTATTAGGTTATCTATACCCCTACAGTCATACTTTGGATTCAAATATACCCCTCATTTAAACGGAGGAACACGTATCCTCGTCATGTTGGTCAATTCTAAATACCTTCTAATTAATTAAAAAGACCCATTAATCATACCCGAAAAGTAATTTTTTGTAAAAACTGGAAAAAACTGAAATTATTTTTTACTAAAAACTGAAAAAAATGAAAATATTTTTTTTTCAGTTTTTACAAAAAAACTACTTTAGAAAAAAGTGAAAAATATTTTCTAAAACAATGTTTTTGAAAAAACTGAAAAATAAAAAGCTAAAAATCAATTTTCTAAAGAAATGCTTTTTGTAAAAACTGAATTTATTTTTACTAAAAACTGGAAAAAAAAACGAAAATATTTTCTTTTCCAGTTTTTACAAAAAAGAATGCTTTAAAAAAAGCTGAAAATTATTTTCTAAAATAATATTTTTGTAAATACTGGAAAGAAAAAACTAAAAAGCAAATTTCTAAAGCAGTGTTTTTGTAAAAACTGAAAAAATAAATATATTTTTTTTTCAGTTTTTAGTTAAAAATATTTCAGTTTTTTTTAGTTTTTAATTGCTTTAGAAAATTGCTTTTCAGTTTTTTTTTTCAGTTTTTACAAAAATATTGTTTTAGAAAATATTTTTCAGTTTTATAAAGCAATTTTTTGTAAAAATTGGAAAAACAAATATTTTCGTTTTTTTCAGTTTTTAGTAAAAATGTTTTTTGTTTAGTTTTTTCCAGTTTTTAGAAAAAAAATATTATTTTTCGGGTATGGATAATGAGTCTTTTTAATTAATTAGGAGATATTTAGAATTGACCAACAGGACGATGATACGTGTTCCTCCGTTTAAATGAGGGGTATATTTGAACTCAAAGTATGACTGCAGGGGTATAGATAACCCAATAGTATAACGAGGAGTATTCTTAGACCATTTTCAAAAGTAGAGGGGTATATTTGGCCCTTTGCCGAAGATTTAATAACCAATATTTTAGTTGATTTTTAAGTCCTAAATATTAGGAAAATAATTTAATCACAATTACAATTACAATTTTGTCCAATAAAACATTTATTTTTAAGGGCCAAAAAAGCGAACGACATTTCGTTAAGGGCTTTCGTGCTTTTAATATAGTATAGATGCTATAATATATGTTCTTTATAACATTACTTTGCTATAACAAAAAATAAATTTGGAACAGATGAGGCTATTACAGTGAGGTTTGACTGTAGATCTTAAAACCCCTCTTATAGTAATATAGTTGATACACAAATCCGTTCTTATTTGACCTTTTTGTCTCATAATGTAAATATGGAAATGCTCTTTTATCTTTTATACAGGTTGATTCAGAATTTAAATTTGATGAGTTCAATCTTTATGTTGTTACTCTTGACACATCGCACTTTTATCTCTATGAGTTCAAAATTTAAAATTTATTCAAATTTTAATGATTTTTCTTTTAAACAAAAAATTATTTGGATCTATATGACATAAGAATGGTTGAAGAAGGCGCAATTGGTTGTTAATTGATAAAATAATAATTGTAATCTCAATTCCACATAAGGTAGAAAAAACTCAAAGAGGATATACGTACTTTTTCGCTACACATATAGCGCAGAATAAGTGTGTCACTGAAACTTGATGCAATCTACTACGTAGTCCAATTAAACAAAGAATAAATGAAGTCCATTTGTTCCTTGCCCACTATTTCTCCTGGTGTCCCTTATAAATGTATAAATCTTGATAAGACTTATAAATGTTCGCGAATCGTGATAACTTCATTGAATGAGTTACTCTTGATTTTTCTCCTACGAGAGAATTAGATTCGAACTTCAATAACTTTTTCGAATTTTATCTGTAACTCACTAGAGGTTTGGGAAACAAAGAAAAGATATAACGAACGAGATATCTAGCAACAATAAGGAAAAGGATTGAATAGAAGAACTCTTGTACACTGAAGGTTAACAATGCAAAGATTGGGAACCCAAATCAACAAATACATATTTTGAGAATTTAACAACTTGAAAGTATATTCTAGCAGATTGCATTGAAGTACAGAATATCATTAGCAAAATATATATAATAAGAAATAACCTCTGTTATCACCAAGTGGTCGTGCCGGAGTGGTTATCGGGCATGACTAGAAATCATGTGGGCTTTGCCCGCGCAGGTTCGAATCCTGCCGACCACGTTTTGTCGCTTTTTTGACTTACATTTTATAGAATCTATATTGGGGAAGTTTTAATTAGTACATTTTTCTATTTCAAACATTTTTGGTTAATATATTTTCCAAAATTTTTAGCACATAATTTATGCTACATCTAAGTATATTAACAGAACTTTTGTAAGCTTATTTGGGGAGTTAACAGTTTATTGAATATTTGGTTAATGATCTTATGCCATTTGGACTTGCTGAACAAAATAAGTTGAAAGATATGTGATATAGGATTTTAAGACTAGTAGTTGGTTTTGCCGGACAATTTAAAACATGTTTCTTTTTGTGTTTGTGTGTCAGAAAATCAAAAAGTATTTTTTATTTAGATTGGTGAAATAATGATGGAATATTTTCACAATCTGTTAATATTGTACTTAAGACAACTTATCCAATAGAAGCAAATTTACAGATATAAAAAGAGTAAACATCATTCCAATTATTAACTTGCCCTTCTCCTGTTAACTAAAATATGATATCCAATGCATCAGATAAGAATATGTTTCTTGTATAATCAAAAAATTTGAAAATTGACACCATCTTGGTAGTAAGTTTGTTCAGTGTACTTCCAATCTGATAAAACAATGAAAATGAAACTCTGGTATCAAATACTCATCCATTGTTATCTCTTACAATTTGTCATATTCAGAAGGGAAAAACTGAATATACAATCCTCAAATTTGGTTTCTCTTCAATCCTTGCAAATCCATGCACTCCAATTTGACACCATCTAGTTCTACTTTCTCTATTATCTAGAAGAAGAAAAAGCATTTGATCTGGATTACAACTATCCATGACACAGGATCGATACAAATTTCTTTACATAATCATATGAAGTCCGGTCTTCATATCTACAAGCTACTACCTTTTCTTGAATGAAAGACACAAACAAGAAGTAGCTAATACTATAACCCAAAAATTCTTACAATAGCGAACAATATTACTCCCACCCCACTTGTGTAATTTTACTAGGTTCTGTTGTTGTTGTTGTTGCGAACAATATTACTACCAGGTTAGTTTTACTAATGAGATACATTGGTGAAAGAGGTTCCTACTCCTGCAAGAAGCTTTCTTCTATCTTCTCAGCTAGTCATTAACCACACCTTGATATCTACAAGATAGGGTCTGCGAACTGATGCTAGAACAAAACCATGAGCGACATGTTCTTCGTTAAGTGGACTACTACTAGATTCTATCATCAAGACTGCAAGTATTGTAGAGCAAAGGGAACAGGGAAACAGTTTGCCCTTCATCTGCATGAGAAATAATCTAATATCAGTAGACATTTAAACAAAAGGCTGTTATAAGTGACAACCACAACCCAACCGCTTCCTGCAGAATCACATGCTAGGTGTTCTCCAACAAATAATCGTATCATCGACGCTACTGATGTCAAAAACCAGGATTGTAGAAGTTGTAATAAAGGTTAAACAAGATCCTATGAAGTTCACTTTACTCTGATAAAAAGAAAATTATTAAAATTGCTCGCACCATATTTGCAAGAGAATAAAATCAACAAAGAAGAGAACAAGGTATAGGACAAGTGGCATTAAACAAGATTCATAACATCAGGAAAGCATACATTAGCCAGGTGAGTATACAATTATCAAAAAAAGGTGACTCGCTTTTTGACTTGCGATATAGAACACATAAAGGGCTTCAGAGACGGGTCTCAGTCTTTAAGGTGCTTCAACTGAAACACTGGAGCAGTCTTCAGATGAGAACATAGATAGTCTTCAAAGCAAGCAAGTACTCCATAATGTGTGGCAGATAATGCTTATAGGTGCTAAAGCAGAAATAAACTAATAAAAGATGACATTGGCCACAATCTTCTTTTGTCCAGTTGGTGCAGTTAATATTTCAAAAGTTTTAACTCTTTTACTGTATTTAATTCTTCAAGAATAAATTGGAAGCTTCTTAGACATAGAAAGCAAAGAGTACAATGTACTTCTTAGAGCACAGGCAGCTTCAGTAAGATGACCAATTTACAGAATCTAATTGAAAAATTAGCAATTCAGGAAAATGTTATGATGACTTCCATAAATTTAAATTCTCAGGATTTATTGACTGTTAATGTTTGCTTACCTCAGTATGTGTCAAAAATGGCTATGCTGTATCCCATTCAAAACTGCATCAATTTCTACGAGGTAGTGACTAATTGCAGATGGCAAGCTTCCCTGTCGAATCATCAGCCACTCCATAATCAATGCTGAGCTCCCTTAGAGGAGGGATATTCTCCATTGCAAAGAGCATAAGGTGAGGGAAAGATACACTATTATGATCATACAGCACAGGTTGTACTAGAACATTGGGGCTTGAACTGTGACTCATGTAACAGGCTAAATTCCTCATCTTAGATACATCCATTGCAAAATCCAAAGGAGGAATGGAGGGATATGCCGGTCGGACATAATTAGAATCTATTTGGGACAAATCTCCCCGTTCTGCCCATCTCTCGGCAAATCGACTTGGATAGATTAAACTATCACCATTCATTGTAAAGATTTGAGCTTGCTCTTGTGTGAGTACAACACCAGTATATTCACAAATAAAAGACCCTGCTTGGATGAGGTCCAAAGACCTAACCCCCCAACCAGTCTCCCTAGACCGAAACACTTCAAACCGGTTCCTCACACCTTTCTGACTAACTCGATTCCGACAAGTTGAAGGACATGGACAATGTGGTCCACATTCAAAAACAACCGGCTTTCCTCTCAACAAGATCCCATTTATATCATATGCAAAATGTCCACCATTTTTCATCATGCAAAAGCAATTATTCCCACACCCGTCTGTGCACTCACAACCTGAACCATTTCCCACATGCTGATAGACATATGGAGGAAATACAGTCTTCAACAGATAATCATAACAAACTGGATCACGTTCATTATCAATATCATTGAACAAAAATACGGGCACATTTTCCTTTTTCCTTGATATATCAAGAGTAATGTATCCCATGGGCCTTACCTCCAGCGGTCTGATCCTAAGACTCTCTGCAAATCTAAGAACAGCACTTCCCATATCTGGTTGATTCTCAATCCTAACAAGCTTATACTTGTACACTCCAAATCCAGACTTACCCACATCAAACCAGGATTCCAAGATTCTATACAATCCATCATACACATACACTTTACCACTAGAACTACCTGCATATTTAAAACCACGAATTACCCTCACCTCAATTCCATAGTGCATGCTCCTCTCCAATGCCAAATTCCCACCTTCCAATTTTTGATGCACAACTTGCCGCGAGTTCTTATCTTGTCCACCTTGCCCTGTATATATAATCACATCCCCCGCATCTTCGTCATCCTCGTAACCCCCCGAAGCAATTACACTTGTGGCAATTGGCTCCCCGTTTGAGCTCTGATTAGCAGGAAGATAATCAATCCCAGCTTGAGGCGTCCCATGTAATCCTACCACACAAAGCTCCATTCGATACAAGAACAAGTCACCGACGATAATTCCGGGGATTGCACCAACAGTGCGCTTATCCCGACTCAGCCAAAGTCCATGCTCTCTCATAATTTGTGACGCCTTCAAGTCCCCTCTTGATCTGGTCTGTCTAGGACCCAAATGTTGGTTGTTTTCATCCTCTAAAATTGCAAGAACTCGTAGAGAATCATAAAGCATTCGTGTTTTGCGAACCAAATCCCGAAAATATCGTTGATCCTCCGGCTTAAGATCTGTCACTCTGACCAACTCCGATGACCGCTTCTCATACTTCCTTCTTGCAACGACGATATCAGAAACCTGAGAATAAGCATGTCAAATGGGCGGGGGTTGAATCAAAGTTGACGGGTTAAAATGGGTTGATCCACGCCACCCAAAACATAGCTTGGGGCAAGATGCATTAGATTAATTTTGGCTAAACAATTGATCCACCTCACCAAACTATGATGAGCACTTCTCATAAATGATTTTGCAAGAACTCAACTCAAAATCATTGCTTTTCAGCTAATAATTTATATCCTTTGAAGCAAAAAAAAACAAAAAAAACACCGCTTTTCTTCATTTATTTTTATTTTATATGTACCGGCAATGTCCGGCCAACTTGAACACACCTTGACTATTCCACAGGGTACCTACATCCTCCCACCAACATAGAAACTGGATAACTCTAAGCTTAGATGAGAAGGAATCACTTAACTTTTCCTGGTAGCACCCGAACCTTGTCCTTTAATTCCAATTTCATTAACCGCTAGGTCACACCATTGGGTGCCAACCAAAAAAGAAAAACACTGCCTTTCAATGATCTATTTAGTTACCACACCTAATTAGAAACAACATTTTTTCAATAGAGAAACTAGATGAACAACAACTAAACTAACAAACAAATTCCTTTTTATTTTTTAACAAAATTTCATGCAAGTTAATTTATATTGACCCAAACTTTTCCATGAGTTAATTTAGATTAGGAGTTTAAGTTATAAGCACAGATTTACACAATCATGTCAATCAAAAGGTAATTGTTGGTAACTCTATTTAATAGGTAACCTAAAATAAATGGTAAGTAACTTGTAACAAGTTAAATTACATGGATGGTGTGAAAAAAGCATTTTACTATCAATGTATATAACTTAAATCCTTTAGATTATGACCAAATATTTTTTCAAATTTTTTAGATGGACCCAAACTTTTTCATGAGTTAATTTAGATTAGAGATTAAGTTATGTGCACTATCAATGTAAAAATTATTTACAGTCAAGTCAAATAAAAGAGAATTGCAAATAACTTTATTTCATAGCATCAATTTTGGTATCCTAAAATAAATAGTAAGTCACCTCCTATAACAATTAAATTACATTGATGGTGTAAAAGATGTATTACACTTTTAGTGTATATAACTTTAATCCTTTAGCCCCCAAATAAAAGAGAATTGCAAATAACTTTATTTCATAGCATCAATTTTGGTATCCTAAAATAAATNAATAATATCCGAAAATGTGTCTATATATATATATACACACACATTTTGTATGTGATATACAAATTTTATACACTTTTTCTTCTGAGGCGGGCTAAAAGTGTAAAAAGCCCTACTTTTTTCACATGGACAAATACACTTAAATGGACTAAATTTGAAAACCCAACCTGGGAATCATTGCTGACGGGAACAATTGCTCGACAATTCGGGTCCGGGTTCGGGTCCTGCAAAACTTCAACATCTCCATTACGCTGTGCAAAAGCAGCTCGAAACAGCTCAGATATTCGATTATATTCAGAGTACACACCTCCCTCGTCACACCCACGTGCATTTTGAGAACTAGTAGCATTAAACTGTGGATTAATGTTGTTGAAATTTGGACTAGGGTTTGTAAATTGAGGGGTGAATTCATCAAGCGGTTCAGGTTTTGGCTCAATTTTAGGGAAAATCTTGGAAGTTGTAGGGATTTCAGGTTGTAAATTAAGGTCTTGAAATGGGACAATTGAACCCATTTCTATACAGGGAAAGGAAAAAAAACAAATTTTGGAGAATAAATTTTACCCAAAAATTCAGTAGTTTAGGGTTTTGAAGAACAAAGTGATGACTGGAAATGATAAAAGGACAGAGGATTTGTTGTCTTAAAGACAGAGAAAATACAATCTATAGAAAATGAAGGAATCTTTATTGTGTTTTGTACTAGTATCATTCTAAATTTTAAATGAAAAATAGGTGTCGTTTTAAAAAAAATAAAAAAGACATTAATTTCTTATTCAAATATACTCTTGCTCTAATAGATAATTTAAAATCTTCGGATAGATATAAAAGTTAAATTAGTCAAATAATATTTTTAATTTAATGCAATTAAATAATTTTCTTAATATGGGTGTGAGATCTTAAACGACATTTAAAATGGATCGGAGGCAATAATAACTGATAAATTACAAGACAAATATTTTAGTTGACAAAAATGCACTTATGATTTTGCCTTTTTACCTGTTCATTTTTTTAAATCTTTTTTGTTATATATGATTTCAAAGGTACCGTTTTTTATATTCTATTATTGAAAAATAACGATCTTTTATAAATAATAAGTTTTGATGATTGATGAAGCTAAATTAAACTTGTATATAAATGAAATAGTCAAGAAATTAATAAAGGGATGTAAAGGAACTTGCAAATAAATTAAAAAAATTGTGAATTGAAAGGACATAATCAAATTGATACCAAGAGATACCATACATTAGATGTGTACGATGACAGACTATATATAAGTTTATAATTTAGTATATATATGTAAAAGTTCCTAGTTATTGGAGGGTTCGTTTAGTTGGAACAACTAATTTAATTAGCCCAAAAGTTTAATAAGTTGATTTTGATGATAAAAATCAACGTAGTCAGTGATTCATTAGTCATTTAATAAATATTTAATTAAAGAAAAAATTACACGTTCGTGATGATGTGAAAAATCACACATTCCTTGTAATGGAGCAAAACAAGAGGGAACTTGATATAGATTATAGGTTTCGTAAAATTAAACTTATTTTTTAAAATCTATTTAACTAAAATATATATATTTAAAATGAACCGAAGATAGTAATTAACTTTTAAATAAAAAATACTCGAATTTGACACTCGTAATTTCATGCTATCCACCCCTAAAGATTGTAGTGAGATGGATATAAGTCACATACCTTTTGCTATAGATCTCGACTTCAAGCTTCACAAATAATTAAAATCTGATAGGAAAAACCTTATGCAACATAAATCTAAATTAATCGGAAACATTGAATAAGAAATCAACAAACAAAATTTGTGCCACCCACTATGCACATATAACAAGCAAGCAACCTCAAAGCATAATTCTAGCTGTTGATTCTCATTGTGACATGTGCATAGTAAGCCAAAACAAAATTGTTTTGCTTATATATGGATATACTTCTGGATGAATCAAATATATATATATATATATATATATATATTATATTTGTTAATTAGAAAACAATCTTTTGGATTATCAAGTATGATGGTATAGTTGCAATTCCTTCGCCTCCAAATAAAAGGAACAAATTCAAGTCTTAAAAATAAAGGTTGGAGATGAGTAAACCAACAATAAGAAGAAATAGAAAACAATCTACCTCCTAGTTGTAAGGATAAAAACAATATAATGGAGTATATACTTTTTATAAGAAAAGAACAACAAAAATATACAATGGTTTTGGAAAGAAAAGAACAACACAAGGACGCGGCAAGGGACCAACTGCCGCCGAAGCCGGGAACTTCAAAAGTTACTATACTATTTTAGGAAATTTTAGTTGTCATCCAATTGGATTTGAATTTCAGCTTTTTGGCGCTACATTTTGAATATATTTTCAAAAATTTAACAAAATTTAAATTAACTAATTGGAGTATTCATTTTTTTAACTTTCATTCACTTTTACTTGTTCACTATAATAAAAATATATTTTTATTTTACTTGTCTATTTTAGCAAATTAAAAAAAAATCATTTGTTTTTCATGTTTTACTCTTATCATTAACTACTCAATACTCATTTCATTTCCCAACACTTCTTAAACTGTTATTACCATTATCAGTATTATAGTAAAAATATTTTATTTATTTATTATTTCTTAATGGGCGTGCAAAATTTATTGTGGGACAAGTAAAATTGAATGGAAGAAGTAATTTATTTCTTTTACTTTTCGTCTATTTTTTTTTAATTCCACCAAAAATTGACAATGGAAAAGAGTAGAGTCAATAAAGTTCTTATGAAATTTGAAACTAAACTCATCCTTCACCTTAAAGAAAAACGAGACAATGAAATTTCATAAACCAATTTAGTATTCATGCATTACACATGCACTTTCTTCTTCTTATGTCGTTCTTTTCCTCTTGTCAAGCAAATGAAAATATAAAACCAATATCTATGGTGCACCACTCAGAGTTTTTTTGAACCATTAATATGTACTAAAACCAAAAGTAAAAAAATCTGGAAAAAATTGTTGTATGCTTGGTTAAAAAAATCCGATCTTCAAATTCGCACACATATTGAACAGAAGCAATATAATCACAATCTCATAACCATTGGCAAGTCCAGATTCCACCTTAGTGAATTAGAGAATCAAAGGCTTGAGCAATCTGGAAAAGAGGGGGAAAAAATCAAACCATAAAAATCAGAGTGAAAATAAGTTCCCTACCAAAGCTTCAAAAAAAAAAAAAAATTCATTCTTGCTAAAACCTGAATGGACAATTGACATTAAGTGTTCATGTTTTTTGAAGATTGTATGATTTTGTGAAGTCTTGATATATATGACACCTTTTTGACTGATCCAAAGTCCATACTCAATTTCTTTTAATAAGAACAAATTAAATAGTGGTCTGGCCGTTCTCAGGATCCCGCACATAGCGAGAACTTAATGTACCGGACTGTCCTTTTTAAAAACAAATTAATGACTGGACAGCTGCAAGCACAACAACTGTTGGTTCTACCTAAATCTTGTTTTATTAACATAATGGACCGATAAATCTGTTTAGAGTGCATAGAAGTGTTATTAGTTTAATTTGCTCAAATATGGAAGGAGAATGTGGAAAGAGTATTACAGTATCAGCTGTCAATGTAACATAAACAGGAAAATAAACTAGGACATGACTAACCAGAAGTAAACCTCAACCAGTTGGCAAGAATGCACGCCCCAGTCTTTGTTCACGCTCAATCAGTATCACCAGCATTTTAGGAACATGCAGGGGCGGCCCGACGTATTTTGGGACTTAAAGCCAAATTTTAATAAGGGGCCTTAATGTTTTAATTTTTTTATTATTATTTGAAGTCAATTTTTCTAGTTTTTTTAGATGCAAAGTTACTAATAATTTTCTTATAATCAATTTCTCCTAATAAGTCTTTCTCAATTGACAATATAGCTAACTCATTTAATCTGTCTTGAGACATTATTGATCTTAGATAAGATTTTATCAATTTTAATTTTGAAAAGTTTCTTTCCGTTGAAGCAACGGTAACTAGAATTGTTAACATTATTCTATAAGCAATATAAACATTTGGAAAAGAATCAAGTCTCTTTATTTGATTGAGTATATCGATTAAACTATTATCTTCTACTTGTACTATTTACCTTAATACTTTCAACTCAGAAAATAAATCGAAACCATCAATATCGGATTGATTATTATGCTTTAAGAAAAATTCAAGATTAAGGCAATGTGTTTTTAAATTTCCATCATTTAGTGATCTTAGTTTTTTTACCACTAAATAGAAAACCAAAAATATTTTCACATGCTTCAAATTGTTCAAATCTACTTTGAAGTGAAAAAATAGCCTTGTCTACTATGTATAAAAAGTAATCAACTCTAAAGGACTCTTCAAGAGACTTTGAGATTTCATTATCAACATTCTCATCAAATTTTTTCTTCCTAGATATCACACGTTTCTTATGAAAATTCAGGTTCGATATTTATTTCAAATACAATTTCCTTGGCAGAAATCATAGCAGTTACAAATCTTTCTTCTCTATATTTGTTAAAAAAAAGAAATCAAACCTTTTAATTGATCTATGGCAACATCAATATGCATGTCTTTTGACTGCATACTTTTGCTAACTGAATTAACAACAAATAATATATCATACCAAATAGTCATACCCAATAAAAAATCAAAATTTTTGAGTTCATATGTTACTAAGGAATTAGCTTTACATTTAGTTTTTGGATCATCACTAATTTCTACTAATTTCAATAAAGCATCTCTTATTTGTGGAGTTTGAAATCTTATTGCTTTAATACTTTCAATACGACTTTCCCAACGAGTTTGTGACAATGATTTAAGAGTTAGACTAGGTACACTATCCTTTAATACTTTCCATCGCTTAGTAGAAGATGAAAATAGTGAATATATACGTTGTACCACTCCAAAAAATGATATAGCTTTTGTACAAGAATTAGCCATATCACAAAGTAACAAATTTAGATTATGACAACCACATGGTCTATAAAATGATCTAGGATTTATATCAAGAAGTCTTTTTTGCACTCCTTGATATTTTCCCTTCATATTTGACCCATTATCATATCCTTGCCCTCTTAAATTATCAATATCAAGTCCAATATTTTTTATTTCATCTATAATAACTTCAAAAAGACCTTTTCCGCTTGTATCATCTACTTTTAAAAATTCTAAAAAATATTCATTAATTTTTATTGGAGTTGCCGAAATATCTACACTCCGCAGTATAAAAGATATTTGTTCTTGATAATTTGTATCTGGAGTGCAATCAATTATGATAGAGAAATATTTTGCTTCTATAAATTTATTCTTAATTTCACTTGTCAATAAGTTTATCAATTCATTTTGTATTCTATGCCCAAGGTAATGACTATGAATTTCATCATGCTTAATTCGTCGAATATGTTCTTGCATGACGGGGTCAAATTCTGCAATCATTTCAATTAAGCTTAAAAAAATTCCATTATTCTCTTGATATATCTTTTTATTTTTTTCTCTAAATGTTAAATTATTTTTTCCAAGAGTTTTGATCACGGCAATAATTCTTGACAATACATTTTTCCAATGCTCTCTATCTCTATTGATTTGTTCTTAAACATCTTTATCGATTGTTTTATCTTTTTGCAGTCTTATTTC